CTTTTCTCAAGGAATTCAGAACCTAAAGCAATTTTCTTCTCTGCTCTAATCCTTGAAAAAATTAAAGACACACATGTTTACACACACATATATGTATATACACATATAATGTATGTATGTGTATACATACGGAAACATATGCATGTATATATAACTCTAAATGTATATATGTGTGTATGTGCATATGTATGTGTGTGTGTCCTCAAAAGGCCTGGCTTTCTAGTTTGTCAGCTTCTTCAATTTACACATTCTGTATCTTCACACCACATCATACACATACAGGAATGGTCATACTCTTCATTTCACCATTACTCAACTTTGGAATCATTCTCCATTCTTCATTTTTCCTCACTTCCCTAATTCTCCAATTCATGTTGATTCTTTAAAAATTTTAAAAAAAAAGACTTATTGATGGTGAATCACCTTCATGATTCAGAACTCTGAAATTTTCTCATCCTTAAAAAATGTTCAAATTTCTTAAAAAAAAAGCAGTCTATATTCTTTACCTCAAATTCTTCACATTCCAACCATTTCTTGATCTGGGTTGTAACTGCACCATTCAACTGAACTTTCTCTAAGTTAGGGGTCCTGGAATCCCAAAATCATGACATGAGGGTCCTGCCCGAAAGAATTAGACCCAAGTCTTCTTTCAGCCAAAAACAAGGTTTATTGAAGATTCACCATATTAGCTAGACTCTTAAGGAATCTGAGCATCTGTGGGCTATCAGTTAGATTGTGAAAATCTGGGCAGCGGCTAGATTATAAGAATCAGAGCATCTTAATGGAGACAAGATGGACCTTATATACAGGATCTAGGAGTGGCCAAGTAGTCTATGAGGCAATAAAACTCAAGGGGTGGCCAAGGGAGAATGGAGCCTATCTAGGATTAAGGGTGGGAAGTAGCGGGGGTGACATAGGGCAGTCTAGGCTAGGTTAAGGGTAACAGAATTGGGAGATTGGGTGTAGCCACAATGAAAGGCCAGTTGATGGGATTATAGCCTCAGGGGAATGCCAGAGATTAGGCCATGTGGTCCAGGGTTTTTCCTTTTTAGGGTCTAGCTCCCATCCTCATCAGTTCCAGTCTGTCTTTCTAGATATTTCACGTTAGCCTCCTCATGCCAGTCAAACTGGCCCACTTGTTATTCTTTAGATGTAACATTCCATCTCCAACCCCTAGGCTTTTGCATAGACTCTCCTCTAGCCTTGTAAATCCTCAGTCACCTCACTGGCTCCTTTCAAAGCCCAGCTCAGGACCTTATATACAGAAAGACTGTGGGAGAGATCTAGGGAGTATCTTGTTGGGGATGGGCAGTAGGCTGGGGTGACTAGAGGAGGAGTCTAGGGAGGATTTTGATGGGAGTGACTGTGAAGTTGAGAATGGGGTCAAGATAGGGTCAAGGGTGGGAAGGTGGGGGGGCATCTAAGGTAACAGACAATAGAGGGCTAGGCTCAATTAAGGGTAACAAAGAATTGGGACATTGGGCATAAACAATAAGGAAAGGCTAGTTGATAGTATTATAGCCTCAGGCAAATGTCAGAGATTTGAACTTGTGGGAAAGTCTAGGGCTTTTCCCACTGGGGTCCAGATCCCACCATGGTCTTTTCCTTTTAGAGGTTCAGAGCCCATCCTCATCATAACCACATCCCAGAGAAACTTGATCAAGTTTTTGTCCTGTAATTACCCCTACCTTTGTAACCCCACCCATCAATCACTTTTCAAAGAAACTTTAATAACCTAAAAGGTCAAGTCTCAGCAATTTAAACTACTGTGGCAACTCTCATTTCAGGATAACTTTTGTCTTGTGACTCAAATCACAAATCTTGGCTGTGGTTAAGGGGCCAGTTAGGTGGGCAGGAGCAGGAAGACATCTTCCGGAGTTCAGTTCTGGCCTCAGGCACTTACTGTCTGTGTGACCTTGGACATCACTTAATCCTGTTTGCCTCAGTTTGCTTATTTGTAAAATGAACTAGAGAAGGAAATGGCAAACCACTGCAGTATCTTGCAAAGAAAATCTCAAATGGGATCATAAAGAGTCAAATACAACTGAATAACAACAAAGGGGTTTCAAAAGGAGAGGAACAAATAATATAATCTTAGTTCTGACTATGTCATCAATTGCCAATCAGAAGACACACCTATGTTGCTCAAGATTTTGCTTTGTCATCTTACTAATTGTTATAAAAGACCCCGTCAGTCCTCACTCAAGGTCTTTGGTTACTGACAGGCCAGAGACCCAATTTATTATTTACTGTTAGCCTAACTAATGATGATGCTTGGAGCTTTGTCTCTTAGTTAACCTTAATTTTCAAATGTAACAAGTTGAACCAAATGACTTCTGAAGTCTATTCCAACTCTGGGATTTTATAATTCTATTGATTAAAGTTGGACTTGAAGCTAGAAAAGCTTCAAGAATAGGTCCTGTGATGGGCTCTATAGCTGTTGTCAGAGGACCAGCTTATCTAATTTTAGAGAGGTCTATTATCTGGTTGGCCAAAGAGTGAGGAATTTTTGGCCATGGCAACTCTGAAATACCATTTATTAAATTATGGAGGTGTGGTGCTTTACAGCGGAGGATATACACACACTGATGAAATTATAGATCTCTGAGGTATTGAAGTATGGATTGACTTAAATAGAACCTCCCATGATTCACATCACCTTGGAGTTGGAGTAGGAAAACCTGGGTGCAAATCTTGATACTGACACTTATTAATTATGTGACCTTGGCAGCCAATTCATTTCAGCCTCCTTTTTTTAGTTTGTTAAATGGGGATAATGATATATATATATGACTACACTCACGATTAAATATTTACAAAGCAACACACCAATTAAGATACAAATAGAGTTGTGGCAAAGAGCAAAAGAGATAATATACACAAAATACTTTACAAACTGAAGTGCCATAAAAATGCCAGTTATAATAATTATAGCACCTACCTCAGAGTTGTTGTGAGGGTCAAGTGAGATAATATATGTGAAGCATTTTGTGAACCTTAAGCACTATGTATTGGCTAATTTCGTTATAATTATAATTATAGCAACTGTGCCTAAATGGGTTTGCATGGTCCCCTAAAACTAAGACAGTACTGTGAAAATGTGTATATGCAAGGAGATATGACCCCAAAATGGCTGAAAGATTTCTGGGAGAGGGAAATCCATGAGAGCCCAGTCTCAGAGGCTCAGACTTTTAATGGTAAACAGGAAGCTCTCAGAGTCATAGGCATGTGCAAGGAAGCTGGCACCCTAACACATACTTTGATTCCTAGCACCTCCCAGGGGACCTGAGATTTTATCTCTGTCCAGGATCACAGAGACCCCTTACTCTTAAATTTTTTATCACAGACATTAACATGTTTGCAATTTTCTTTCGTGTAATAGGGGTTAGAAGGAGAACTAAACTAGCCGATATTAAGCTTATTGTTATCCTCTAGGTTGGGGTGGTAATACTTCTCAAGTACCTTGTCTTCCTCCTCTCTCCCCTAACAATCCTGATCCCCAACAAATGTCATGTCCCTAGACTGTGAATACATTGAAGGGCACCAACAGTGTTCTGTTCTCCACAAAAATGGAACTCCATTCTCCCTGAGATGCATGCCAGAGCTATCTAGAAATCCCTGTTACATAACTGCAGTCTGGGCCCATGTTGTAGAACATAGTGTAGCAGTCACCATAAAATCATTGTTTGATTTGGTCACTATTGATGCTTCTGTTAGCTGTATGAGCCCCCCCCCCCAAAAGTCCTTTAACTTTGGGCCTCAGTTCCCTTATTTCTAAAATAAGTGGAGTGGCCTAGGTCGCCTAAATTCCTTTCCATCTCCAAGTCCTTGAATCTAACTAAAGTAGCCCTTATTGTTAAAGCAGCCCAAACCAGTGATAGTATCACACGGAACTTTTGTAATAGCAGGCCTGCTGGGAGAAACGCTTTTTTTTCATCGTGTAAAGGTAGGGGTGGGGTATGGAACAGTTTTAACTTCCTCAAGTATCTGCAAAAGGTACGTTTTTTTCGACTTGCCAATGAAAAACGAGAGCGTCCTGTGAAGTTATTCCTTTAAAGTCAACGTTGCAGGTTGCTGTCAAGTGAGGCCAAGTGCTATTGACTTAGGCCTGCTCGGCTCCCAGGTTGCGCTGCCTCCTGGGGGTTTGCTGGTGGAGGGTATGATCCAGAAGAGGTTTCAGACACAGTCCTTCTCCCAGGGCCTTGTGTCACATGGCTCACTCGTTTCCGTCCAAGAACATTTTCCTTTTCTGCAGCTACGCTGTGCATCAGATTTCTCCAACTCAAGCCAGCATTTTGGCTGACAAACTTGTAAGTCAGAGCCTCGACTTTCTCCCGCTCCCTTTCCCAAGTCTCTGCAGTAACTCCGCCCCTTCTCAGGTTCAGTCCCCTTCTCACCTCTCCCTACCGTCTCCTCTTCCCCCTCCCCTCCCACCCTCCGGACTGCTGGGAAGAACCGGACTAGTTAAAGCTTTAAATCAGAGCCGTGCCCTGGTGGACGCTACTGCGCATGCTCGGAGAGCCGGCTTCTGGGGCAGTCCGCATTTCTCCGCTGTGGCCGTGGCTGCGCTGTGCGCGCTCCCGGACACAACGCGCGCGCGCGAGGGGAGACTCTGAGCGCGCTCCCGAGGGTAGTGGCGTGGGGGAAGTGGATGTGGCGGTGCTGCGTGTTCCCGGGCGTAGTGACGGGGGGCGGGGGCGCGCGCTCGGGGCGCGACGCCGCGGACGAGGGGACGGTCGGAGCTCGCTCCCGCGGACGGAGGTGTGGGGTTGGACTCAGGCGGCGTGCGGTTTGGGGCTGAGGGTTGGGGTGGGGGGGGAAGGGGGCCCCGGAGTCTGCGGTCTCCCCTGCTCGTGGGTCCGTGCGGCTGCAGGCGGCCTGCACCGCTCGGGGGCCGACGCCGGGGCGGCTGCCTCTGGGAGATGGCCATCCTTGGCTCCGAGGGGTGAGGAGACCTGCCGCCGGCTGCTGAAGGAAGAGAAGGAGGCGCCGCCGCCGCCGCCGCCACCTCCTCGGCAGGCGGGCGGGCGGGCAGGCGGGCGAGCCTGGGTAAGCACGCCGCGCATCGCGGGGCTCGGGCGGCCGGGCTGGGTTTCGGGGCTCGGGCCCTCCCCCTCCCCCGGCCAGGCTGGGAGGGGGCGGGAAGGCGGGCTGAGGGCGAAGGGGAGGGCGGCGCTCGGCCTCTTTCTCGGGTGGGTTCGTGGGTCTTGTCCTGAGGGAGATCCGCCGGAGGCCCGTGTTAGTGTCCCGGAACGGGGAGAGTGTTTTGGTGACCCTGGGAGTCCCGGGCTGCCTGCCGGCTTCTCTCCCCTCCGCCTCTCCGCTCCAGTCGCCTATTTAATAATCCCTTCTAACAGTCCTTTCGCCCAGGAGGGCGAGCACCCACCCGAGCACAGCCTTTTTCCGCGGCTTCTTCGTATTGCTCCGTGTGCCTCACCCCGCAGTTACCCTAGCGCACCCCCTTTCTGTGACCCTGCAGTTCCCCATGACCTTGTAGTTTTTTTTCAGTTATTATTCTTCGTCTCATCCACAATTTATCTTCGCTCTTCCCTCCCCCTCCCAATTTTTCGTCGTTGTCGTTTCTCCATTACTTTTTTTTTTTACCTTTATGCTATCATTCTTTCCGTCAGCCCTTTGGTATTGGAGCACTCTTTGGGGGTGTCTTTGCTTTGGGTTATCTTCATTTGTAAAGAAACATTGTCCGTTGCTTTGGCATTTCTGCTTCTCTCGACTTTTAGTAATCTGGCTTTGATTTCTCCTTTTAAAATGTTTTGTGTTGTGTAGACAAACATGAATAAAGCGTGAAGTGATTTCTGTTTCCACATAAAGTACATTAGAAGTAGGTGTGAAGAAGACTAGTGTTAGGAAGAAATTATTTGGACTGCTGTAATCTTGAACCATCTAGTGTATACTCCATGTATAGGTTTATATTAGTCTGTACCTTCTTGAAAAACTGGCATACGTTGGAAACTATGAATTTAGGTTCATGCTGTCTCACTAAGTCCGTGTTTAAACTAAGTAGGGAAATCAGAAGCACAATGTATCAAACATTCAAAAGAAAGTGACTTTGAAAAAGGCCTTCTTTGATTTGGGTGATTTTAAGTAGCAAATTAATTTTGTTAGAAATGACCTTTATAATCCTAGCTAGTTAACTTTTTAAAAAATTAAACTTAATAGTGAACTGATAGGGACTGCTCACTGGACTCCTTTAGTCATCTAATAAAGCATACAGACCCCTTCTCAGAATGTTTCTAAATGCATAAAATAAATACATATGACAGAAAAGAGAGGAACAAGCATTTTGGGGAGTGGGGAGAACAATCATTTATTAAGATCCAACTATATGCTAGGCAATAAGTGCTAATTGCTTTACAAATGTTTTTCACATTTGATCTTCAGAACAACCCTCTGAGATAGGTACATTTATTGTCCTAATTTTACAGTTGAGGAAACTGAGCCAGAAAGAAATTAAGTCATTCGTCCAGGGTCACACTTGAATTCAGGACTTCCTGACTCCCAGTACAGTGCTCTATCCACTGCACCACTTACTGCCTAAGTCAGAAAACTAATTATATTGAAATATAGTTATGTAAATTTTTTTAAAAGTTCATGTACCTTAGAAGAGATATGAAATAAGGCATAAAATTTATTGCTTTATTTTTTAACATTAATAGTGTGATTATAATGTACTATTTATATAACTCAATATAAAAAAGGTTTTACTTGTCTTCCAAAACCCTAATTTTGAGTTACAGTAAATCAGTCAATCAGCAAGTATTTATTAAGGATCAGTCATGTTCCAGCCATTGTGCTAGGTGTTGAGGAAGAAAAGACAAAAATGAAAGTCCGTGCCCTTAGTCTGTCAACTAGTATTTATTATGCACTTGCTATGTACCGGGCACATATTTATTTATTTATTTAGAAGATGGTACTTTAGCTGATAACTTGAAGGAAGCCAGGGAAGCTAGGAGGTGTAGTTGAGGAGGAAGAATTAAGGTTGTGGGAGACAGCCATTGAAAAAACTTGGAATCCAGAAATGAAGTGTCAGTTTCAGGAGGGGAGGGAAACCCAGCAAGGGGGGGGCAGGGGGGGTACCCAGTGTCATTGGATCCTTGGAGTGTATGTGTGTGGGGGGTGGGGGGGTGGTAAGGTATAAAAAGAATGGAAAGGCAGGAAGGGGTCAGGTCATGGAGGGCTTTCTAAGCCAAAAAGGATTTTTTTGATTCTTGGGTTGTTAGGGAGCCATTGGAGTTGATTAAAGGGGATGTTGATGTGGTCAAACTTTTGTTTTAGGAAAGTCGCTGAGTGGAGGGTAGATTGGAGTTGGGAAAGACTTGAAGCAGGGAGAGCAATCAGCAGGGTATTGCAATAGTAGGTGTATGAAGTAATGACGACATGAACCGGGGTGGTGGTAGTGTAGGAGAACAGGAGCTGCTATGTAGGAGATGTTATGAAGGTAGAAACAGAACTGTGCAGTGAGTTGGATATGGGTGAGAGACGAATCCAGGATGATGCTTGGGTTGCAAGGTTGCAAGCCTGGTAACTGGATGATGGTACCTTGGAAAATATTAGGAAGGTTTAGAGATAAAGATGAGTTCAGCTTTGGATATGTTGAGCTTAAGATGTTTACAAAACATGCAGTTTGACATGTTCAATAAAGTTATCCATGTACATGTAAGCATGTCAATAAGCATAGATGTGAGAACTTGATAAATAAATTTGAGAATCTCTACATAGTTTATAATTGAATACATGGGAGCTTAGATCACTAAGTGAAATTGAGAAGAGAAGAGGGTCTAGAGCCTTGGGGGACACTCAGTATGATCAGGATGAAGATCTAGCAAGGGAGACTGAAGAAGGGGCAAGCAGCCAGGTAGGAGAATCAAGAGACAGCTATGTCATGAAATCTTGGAGAAGAGTATCTAGGAGAAGAGTAATTGACAGTGTCAGGATGCAGAAAGGTTCAGAAGAACAAGGATTGAGGCAGGGACACTAGATTTGGTAATTAAGAGATCACTCTGAAGAAAGCATTTTCAGTTGAATGATGAGATTGAAAGCCAGACTTCAGAGAGTGAAAAAGAGAGTGAAAGGAAAGAAGTGGAGGAATCTCTTGTGACCCATCTTTTCAATGAGTTGAGTCATACACAAATGGGAGAAGAGATAGCTGAAGGATGAGAGTTATCAGGTACAGAAGGATTAAGTAAGGGGTTTTTTTGTTGTTGTCATTTATTTATTTATTTATTTATTTTTTGAGGATGGGGGGAACATGAGTGTATTTATGGTTAGTAGAGAAGCAGCCAGTTGGCCCGGGGAGAGGCTGAAGATAGATGAGAGCTTGGGGGTGATAGAGGAGGCAGTCTGCAGGAGAAGACAAGAAGGAATGAGGTCATTTGTGCATGTAGAGGTTTGCCTTGGCAAAGAGAAAGGTCAGCTCTTTGTGTGAGGCTGGGGTGAAGGAAGAGGAAAGTAGTAGAAGGCATCTTAGTGATGTGAATTGAGGAGAGCAGAAGAGGGAGCTCTTGATAAATAACCCCAGTTTTTTCAGTGAAATATGAAGCAAGGTTTTCAGCTGAGAGGGTGGAGGGCTGGTGAGCCAAGGAAGGCTTGAGGAGAGATGAAAAGGTTTGGAAGAGCTGCTGTGTTGAGTGGGATAGTGAGCCAATTAGGGAGGTGTAAAAGGATTGCCTTTAATAAAGTGCGGTCTCTTTTGAGATTATGTAACTATAAATTTGGGATGGACTCAGACAACATAGTTTTTAGAAAGCTTACATTTCTTTATGTTAGACAACATGTAAATATGTAAGAATATATAGAATAAATACAAGATAATGAAGGGCTGGGCGCTAGTGGGAAAGAGAAGGGGCAGGGTCATATGGTAAATGGCAATTGAACTGAACTTTGATAGAAACCAAAGATTCCAGGAGATAGAGATGAAGAACTGCATTTCAAGCATGGAAAACACTGAACAAAGACAGAGAGATGGGAGATGGAGTGTCATGTGCATAAAGGGGAATAATTATAATAATGCTCCAAGATTAGGCTGGAGCAACATTGTAAACAGCTTTAACTGCCAAACAGGAGTTTGTACTTGATTGTAGAAGCAATAGTAACCACTAGAATTGTTTGGTTTATTTTTGTAAACTGGTGGAGTAATGTGGTCAGGCCTGTGTTGTTGGTTCACTTGGCATTGTGTGCAGAATAGATTGGAAAGGGGAGAGACTAAAATTTTTTTGTTTTATTTTGAACTTAAACACCAAATGAAACGGACATTTCCATGCATCTAGTAGAACAGAAGATAATTGAATGTGATACTACGAATCTCTTTGAATATATTATCAATTCAACATATAACTTTCAAAGTTGCCCTGCTTGTCTATGATTCTTTCTACCCTGCCCTTTTTTCTCATTTGTGCATTAAAAAGTTTCCAATGACCCTCTTTTTCATTTTCTTTCCTTTTTTTTTTGGAGGGGGTTGCTATAAACCTTTAACCTACCTTCTTTTCCCTACTCTTCATTTGAAAAGAAAGAAAGAAAGAAAGCACTTGTAAGAAATATGCATGGTCCAGCAAAAGAGATTCCCGTATTGGTCATTACTTCTCTTTTGGGAGGTGGGTAGCATGCTTATGTCCTCTGGAATCATGGTTCATTATTGCAGTGATTAGAATTCTAAAGTTTTTCAAAGTTGTATTTCTTTGAAATGTTGTTAGTGTATAAATTGTTTTCCTGGTTCATTTCACTTCACTGCATTTAGATCTTCAAGACGGGAGAGGTTGAGGCAGAGAGACCAATTAGGGGGTTATTGCAATTGTCTGGACCAGAATTGAAGGCCTGGAATGCTGCTAGTGTGAGTAGAGAGAAGGGAAGAGATGCAAGGGATGTGGAAGGCAGACTTGGCAATTAAATTATCTTCATTTGTCAGTTTCTAAATGTTCACATTGGGTGATCAAACCTTCATTAGACCTAACAGTGATTTTGAATATGCCCCTACTTTCAAATCCTATGCTATTGATCTTATTTAAATTTTTTTGCATATATGTATGCATGCATGG